GCTATGGATTAATTAATAATTAAATGTATCACCAAAAACATTATTATCTAAAAAAAAATTGCATAAAAATATTTAAATTTCAGTATTAAATAACCCATAGAGGTGTTGATATGCTGCAAAACAAAGACAACCAACCAAACTTGGTGGGTGGAGAAGTTTTACATCTCTACAAAGAATGCAGCTGGTGTATTCTGAGGCTCACTGACAAGACAATCTTTGCAGAAGAAAGGATTGATTATAAGATTCCATAATTAAGAAAATTATGTTTAGATTCTGAACATTCCAAATCAAAATGGAACCTTTAATCTCTAAATAGAATCTTCCAAAATATCCAGGTTTTCTGTAAATTGAACCTTCCAAAGAAATCAAGGTTGTCCCTGAATTAAATTTTCTCTCTTGAGGATGAAGAGGAATTCTTCATGGTGAAATGCTAAAATCTTGGAGAAATTATTATTCTACAATGAGGAATTGGTTCATTTAAAGGATACTTCATAAGAGTAATACTTTCTTCTGAGAAAGGAAGTGTTGATGATTTTGTAGCGTGATTACCTGTTCTGCACCAAATGCAATGTAGCTGATGATAAAGACGCTTGTATAGAAACTCCTTCTGCATGTGGCACCTTCAGATGATCACTTGTTTTTGTCCATACAACATTTTATTAGTTCCACCAAGTTCAAGGTATCTTGACAAATTCATCAAATCAAAAATGAAACTATTCTTTTATGACAGAATGCACAATTTACCTGTCACACAAAGTTAGGAGACATACTTTTGCCATGAATTTGTTTGGATAAAAGGATTTGTCGAAGAAATGCTATAAACTTTTGCATCATCATAATGTATAAAAATGCTGTTTAGATTTCATATGACATTTGTCAATATCTGTCATATCAATATTCATTGTAATTATACTACAAACCAATTGTGTTGTCTGTCATCTGAATAAACTATAGATGAAGAGCTACAATAGAAAGTTTGGTTTCTTTAAAAAAAAAAACGTGCTTGCATAATAATCAGGTAGAAGTTATATACAGGAGTAATTTTACAGTCTTTTTCTTCTCAAACTGAGGGCAATATCAAAGCTTAAATATCTGAAATAGTTTATCTATTAACTTTCTTTCCTCACTGGCCTGTAAGATACAAACATATTGCTTTTCTCTCTCTATTCTTCCTTAGTTTATCAGTTGTGCTCTCTATCTAGAGACCCCATTGGTCTATCAGTTGTGCTATCTAGAGAGCCCATTGGTCAGTACAGAATGATGTCCATTGACACTGTTCTGCCAGATGATCAAGACTGCTTGAACACTCCTAAAATTATCTCATCATAACTAATTACACACATCAATCAATCAATCAAATATATTTACTTCTACTTTGGTCCAAAATTCAACTCTTTAACTTAAAATCTTTCTAAGCAGGGAAATTAATGCTCATTGGCCTAGAGACTGAGAGTCTTATGAAAGAAAATGTAACTCTCAAGAGAAATTGAATCTGTATTTCCTTCTATTAGGGAAAATTATTTTTTAAGCTAAGTGTGCCTTACCATTAGGCCACAGAAAGCCATTGCAGCAAAGTAAGGCTTAATTAACTTATTTAAGAAAAGCTTGTCTCTTGTTGGAACATTTCAGTGTCTATATCTGAACTTTACTTTCATGTCTGAAAAGTAGACAAAGCATTTTTAATAAATATAATTTAATAAGAAAATATTTTTCAATATAACTTTAATAGTTGTGAGAAGTATGACGAAGTGGAAAAAGATTTTTGTGTCTCACATTTCATACTTTATGAATTCATCGATCTAATGAAGCCATAAAGGTTGAAATGCATCACACAAAACTTTTTTCCAATTTTGTCATGCTTCTTTCCCTTAAAATTGTTCTTGTTATATAAAAATTTCTCTCAGCTTTAATAGTAATAAGAAACACTTCATCAAGAAGGACATAAGTTGCAAATATATTAAAGATATCATTATACATAATTTTGGTTCTTCAAATGCTTATACGTGTAATAATTAGCCAGAATTAAAAACAGAACATGCAGGTAAATCACAAGGCAGATGTCTATATCTAAGAGGTATTGGCATTTAACATCCCATGTCTAAGAGACGTTGGCATTTAATGTCTCGTGTCTAAGAGATGTTGACATTTAACCCTAGAACACTAACAATCAGTTAAAGTTACACCACTACTAAGCATGGGTATATCATACCTGATTTTGAAAATATAAAAAAAAAATATCAAATATAAATCTTTATTTGAAATATTTTACATACAGGCACTTCAAACTTTGTACTTTAAGTTAACATTAATAGGAACTGAAAAATATATTATTTAGGTAAGAAAATCAGGTACTGAAAATTGTAATTAAAAATAGGAAAATTTACACTGAGTATATTATACCTATACTTAGTGTTTTAGGATTAACGTCCCGTGTCTAAGAGGCGTTGACATTTAACGACCCGTGTCTAAGAGGTGTTGGCATTTAACATCCCGTGTCTAAGAGGCGTTGGCATTTAACGTCCCATGTCTAAGAGGCATTGGCAGTTGGCATCCATACCTATAAGGCATTGGTGTTAGTGGTACTGTCAATCAATATATATATATATATATATATATATATGTATAGAGAGATAGAGAGAAAGAGAGAGGTTTTGGACAAAGGCAAAGGCAGCAAAAATGTAGAAAATTAAATCCCACTAGTTACAACAGACAAACAACATGTAAGAGAGAGAAGTCAAAGTTCCAATGGATTCATGGTTGTTCAGACTCCAATGAAATAAAATTAACTAAGAATAGAAACCAAATAAGAATTTTGAAAGTGTGCAGCTGTCATTATTCCTGGAATAGACAAGCAAAGTAAATAAAAATAAATTGTTTTTCTAATTAATAAAACTAGATTTTCTGCAACAGTAGACACTAATTGTTCTTTTGGTGAAAAGAAATGGTTTTAAACTATATTTACTATATTTATTTGAGTGATTAAGGACAAGTTAGGATTACTGAAACCCCCTACTGATTCAACTTTGACATTAGTGAAAGATTCCTTCCAAAGTAAAGTATAAAGAAACAGAAAACTTCTTTTAGAAACCATGCTGAAATGTTATATAATGTCAGTCTGCTTACATGGCAGTGAATGCAGGACAATCTCTACACAGATGAAGAAGTGGCTTGAAGCAAAAGATGCAGTTCTGAGAATACCATGGATGGAATATGTGCGTAACAAGGAATTTCTAAGGAAGATGGAAGCAAAACAAATGCTTATACAGAGAAAGGCAAAAGTGAAATTTCTAGGGCACATAATGAGGAAAGAGGGCTTGGAGAATTTGACACTTACAGGGCATATTGAGGGCAAGAAGAATGACAGAAAACAGTGAGTAACCAACCTAATGAGCTTGTGTAAATGGATGGCAGAACGAACTGACAGAAATGGTGAAAAGTCAAATCTTACTAGGCACTGCAAAGGATTGGATGTTGTGGAGAACCATGATCATTTACATCCTAAAGAGATATGGCATACAGAAGAAAATCATAGTGGGACTATGAAGTTCATTAAGGAATTGACCTTTCCCTGTTGGGTTGGTAGAGCCCACTTCTGGTTTATACAGCAACTATCCTGTGCGTACCTTAACTACAGTTTCTGGGAGAGAATGCATTATCTAGCATGATCAACAGTTTGAACAAGGCTAGTGCACTCAAACCATCAGTCACGATGAATTGTGACTGTGTTAGCACACCTATTGATGGCTCCCAAATAGTTCTGTCTATCCAATTTCACTCACAGGCCATTGTATGGCATGGTCTTCAGGCGCTTTTCTAAAGGTACCACATTCTGGGATCACCCTATCAAGAAGTCACCTTCCTGACAAATCGATCATGGTGAGATACAAACACAGGTCTCATGGGTGGAAAGTGAATCTTCTAACCCCTCGTGCCAATTAGACTAATAGTGTGCAATCAAAAGACAAAAATTAAGGAAACTGGATATGTTAATTTTAACCAATGTCTTAACATTGAGTTGGGAGCTTAAACCCAACAGGTTGCTAACCAAGGTTACAGAGCGCAATCTGGTTTGCTGTTTAACCCATAGCTAGTTGGAGAAGAAATGAATGCAGAGAATTCAGCTAGATTTGTCCTGAATCTGATTTAAATCTGACATGCCCAACCCCTTTCAAGCAATTAATGCAGTTATTGGAAAAGAGGTTAGCAGGATAATTTTTAGACAATGTGGAAGTAACTTGCACTTGGGAAGTTTCAGTCTGTCATGTACTCAATAACTACACTTTAATTTTTTTTTTTTTTTTTTTGTTACAGCCAGTTTAGTTCAAGACAGATTCTGGTAAGAAATATCTTATATATTTACAAGTCTACCATTCATCTTTGCTTTGAATATTGCTGCTACATCTGGTATTCCCAAGCAGCCACCCATCTAGATATTGACCAGGCTCAATATTGCTTACCTTTGATGATCACACAAGAACTGATCTGTCAATGTGATAAGCCCAATGGCTTCTAGAATAAACATATATACATACACACATACAAGCCTGTTTCACTGTATCACAGCCCATCAGTTTGGCTAGACATCCAATTGTTTCAAGTAGGTATTGAAACTCAACTGATTTGGCATCAGTCAGAGACTCTACCTTTATGCTATCGGCACACAGCAGAGAAAGGGAATCTTTTAATGTATTATATACGTAATGTATATAAATGTCAGATTAACAACCAGTGCATTCAGTTCAGATGAAGAGTTGTGCGTTATAAGCAGGAGCAGCTACTGTTAAAAATTCCCTTTCCCCATAGTGTTCGATCAGTGAATGAGAGCAAGTCACCACATACAAACATATTTTGCTGCATCACTGCACACACACACACACACACACACACACACAACATGGGTATGTGTGCACATAAGTCAATATGACAAATCCAAATGGAATTGGAACCTTTGCTCACCTATTTCCAATTTCAAACCATTATTCATTTCACTATTCATGCATCCACACCTGGTATTTCCAAATGGTCACCCATCTAGGTACTGACCAGGCTTGACATTGCTTAACTTTGGTGGTTGTATGGGAACTGGTTTCAACATATGGTCTTAAGCATGGATATATTACAATATAGCTGTGAAAGCTGCATATTTACTAAGTAGCAAAATTAAATAGATCTACTTCTAAACCTAGTTTTTTATTTATTTATTTTTTTTAATACAGGCCTGTGAATATTAAAAAGACACTACTTAAACAGACTGTTTCACAGTTTTCTAGAGAAGAGTTTTTGTACATTAGCACTCTTCAGACCTTCCTCAAGTCACAACATTTGTCTGAATAAAAAAATGTGGCCCAGTGGATAAGTGTTGGTTGAAGTAATTCAGTGCCTTTACCGAAAGAATTGTGAGTTCAATACCTGACCACAGCAGAGGTGAACAAAAACTTAGAGAGTTACTAAAGGGAGATAACTGAAACTGAGATATCCAGAAAAGGCATGGCACGTGGAAATAGGACACTCTATTCCAGTGGATGAAATAAAAGGTTTGATTCAAAATTCCAATGTTTATCACCTGAATAAGGCCGGAACATAGAATGGCTGAAACATTGTGAACATGACAAAGATGAGAACAGCAGTCCAAATAGTGTAAATAGTTACAATACCTCATCTGAGAAATAGAGACAGATGTTGAAGGTGAATATGGCAATAAAGATGAGGATAACAGTCCAAACAATGTAAATAGTGTAAATAGTTACAATACCTCATCTGAGAAATAGAGACAGATGTTGAAGGTGAATATGGCAATAAAGATGAGGATAACAGTCCAAACAATGTAAATAGTGTAAATAGTTACAATACCTCATCTGAGAAATAGAGACAGATGTTGAAGGTGAATATAGAATAAAGATGAGGATAACAGTCCAAACAATGTAAATAGTGTAAATAGTTACAATACCTCATCTGAGATAGAGACAGATGTTGAAGGTGAATATGGCAATAAAATGAGGATAACAGTCCAAACAATGTAAATAGTGTAAATAGTTACAATACCTCATCTGAGAAATAGAGACAGATGTTGAAGGTGAATATGGCAATAAAGATGAGGATAACAGTCCAAACAATGTAAATAGTGTAAATAGTTACAATACCTTGTCTCAGAAATACAAACAAAATTATCAAAAATTTATTTGCATAATTTAGATGAAAATTTATTCATCGCACCACTCTGTATTTGTGTGTGTGTGTGTGTATATATATATATATATATATATATATATATATATGTTTTTTTTTTTCATTTAAAAGACATCTTTTTGGGAAATAAAATGTGTCTGTTTTCATATGCGAATAACAATGATGGAAGCACAGTTTCAAACTTCATATTTGTAAACACACAACTAATTTCCAATAGTTCTGTACAAGGCTGGAATTGATTTTATAAACAGTACCTCCCCCTTTCTAGAATGATAAAAATAAGTTTTTTTTGTTTTTTTTTCTTTTATTGTGACAAGTATCATGACTTAAAGAAGCTCATCTACAAATATTATTTCCCTATTTTTACAAGTGGACCAATCATCTTATGTAGCTAAAACATTGTACATGTCTGAAATTTAATTTATGCAGGCCTGTTTAGAATTACTGTAAACCCCCCTAATAGAATTCACTACAAAATCTTAGCACATGCCAATCCAAAAAAATAAAAATTGAATTCAACACATAAAATGGATTAAGAATAGAGTATAAAAATAGTCATTTTATATAAGGTTCGAATAAAAAAAAATGTGTTTTTAATCATTTCACCCAAACAAGGCAATAAATCCACTAAGATGCAAGCAGTTACTGAATGTGAAAGAATGAGAAAAAGAAAAACATTATTAATGAGAGAAAACAATAAAAGAACAGAAATTATGATGACAAAAGATAAGAATTAACACTGCATTTTGATTTTTGGAGATGAAAGTTAACCAGAAAGTTGACCAGATCCTGGAAGAGGGTTCCACAAGTCAGAAGTGGAAAAGAAGAAACTGTCAGCATAGAACTTGTGGTTACATCTAACCATTTCAACTGTGAAACAAGGAGACCTAACTACCAATCTAGTACTGCACTTAAATTCATAAAGTTGAGGTGCCAAAGAGGAAAGCTCATCAAAAAAATTACTATCAAAATATTTATAGAAATGGTTCAGTGGAGCACTGTCATGGGAGTGGGAAAGTGATTGATGCTGAGATGTCAGGTCAGGACTGATAACATTGCAGATGTTTTTTTTTTTAATTTTATCAAGAATCTCTAAATACATGGCAGAAGTACCAGACCAGATATGGCAATAATATTTAATGCATGGACAAATGGTAGACTTACAAATATGTAAGATAGATTCTGGTGAGAAAAACTGTTTAGCACACAACACAGTGAACAAACTTTACTAGCAACAGACTTAGCAGATGATCCAATATAATTCATCCACTTTATGTCAGTGGAAAACATTAACCTGAAAAAGTGCAATGAATCATTCTCTTGGAGGTAAATATTAGCCATGTTGATAGAAGGCAAAATAAGATTCTCTCAGACAAATAACAGAGTAGTTTTATTTCAGAGGCATTAAAGTTAAGAAGCCATTTCTTGACTCAATTAACAACAGTTAAGATAAAAAAAACAGTAAAGTTTAAATAGATAAGGTTTTGAATGAGATAAATGTTCTTTTGAAGTGTTGAAGTTTAAGTGAAAGTTCTGTCTATATGTCTGCAAGAGACTGGGTTTACATAGACAAGGAGAAGTGGTCCATTCTACCTTTTAGATGGTATCCTTAGGTATATAAAAACCAGCAAAAGTGAGTAGGCTATTGGCAGTGGTTTATTTTTAACTTGTTGATAGCAAGAAGATGCTCCTGTGTTGACGGCATCTAGTGATTTTTTAGTTGCTGATTTTGCTTTTATTTTCTTATAGAAGATCTGTGCTTGAAAACTAAAATCAAGCAATCTGATTGGTTTATTATTCTTTCTCTGTTCAGCAATGTCTAAACTGTCATCTGTATACAACTGCTTTTTCAGATCAATGATTAAAAATGATACAAAAATGTATCAATTCATTGACTCTATTATTCATGTATCATGCAGCAAGAATGGCAAAAGAAATTACTTCTGTCAGAGTAGAAACACTTTCTTTTTTTTTTTCTTTCAAATCTGATAATTTCATATTTCAGGAACTGAGTTTCATTTATTAAATTATAATGAAGCAGCTTTCATCAACAGCCTGCAAGTGACAAGTACTCAATTACTGTGATCTTGTGCCAAGACTGAACATAGAATAAGCTGCACTAGTGTAGTTTTGCTCAACATTGTATATTTACATTAATGTAAAAATGGAATTGTTTTCTCAAATAGACTCATCAGATCAAAATTATAATATGGATGTCATGCATGACACAAGACACATTCAAACAAATACTGTCAGCTATATATAATCCCTTTCTCAGATCAATGGTTAAAAATAGCCTTGAGTGAATGAAGCCTGTAAGTTTTACAGAGAACTTTCTTTGATTCCAGTGGACTGGTACTAAAGAATCACTAAGACCTGTACTAAATAACAGAAACCACATCACTTAAGGACTTTCAACAATAGCAACAACTAAAATGGATATCACATGAAATTCAAATAAAAATTAATGACATAATGAAAATGCTGACATTCCACACTACTCAAAATAAAAGGTTAGGAAGGAAACCTCCATCAATACTGGAAAGAGTTATAACAGCTACTGGGCTTGAGAAGAGAAAATAATGACATAATCAAGATGTTGACATTCCACACAACTTCAAATGAAATGTTAGGAAGGAAACATCCATCAATACTGATGGACATTCCTCTTTGGTACCTAGACTTTCGAATTTATGTAACTGTAAATTCTATGCTGACACTTTCTTCTCTCACACTTCTTGCTTGTGGAAATTTTTCTTGCCTTCCAATTTGAATTAAATGCAATGTCTATTGTTGTCTTTTGTTTACTTAATTCCTCTCTTATTGTTCTCTTTTCTTAAAAGGTTTTTTTTTTCTCAAACTGTCTCACACCCAGTAACCCCTTGCATCTTAGTGGCTTTATCTTGCTCAGGGTTGAAATCATTAAAAAATTATTGGCAAAAATATAACAGCTACTAGACTTGAGAAACCTATTTTCTTGAAAAATTGTTTTAAGAGAAAGATCTTAACAAAAAGAACTGTAGCAAATAATAGAAACCACATCACGTGAGTTTTTTAAAAACACAGTAACAACTAAAATGGATATCACATGTAACTTGAAGAGAAAATAAAGACACAATAAAAATGATGTTCCATATTACTTCAGACAAAAAGTTAGGAAGGAAGCCCCCCCCCCCATCAATATTGGAAAGAGAAATAACAATTGCTGGACATGAGAAACCTATTTTCCAGAAAAATTGTTCTCAGAGAAAGATTTTATAAATTGCAAATGGATATAGCATTGGCTGCCCAGTCAATGAAGGCTGAATGTTTCTCATAAAGGAGATAATATTACCTTTTGTCAGATTGTTTCATTTCTGCTACATTCACAAGGGATACATTCCGTGAAACCAATTTCAAAATTTATGACATGCTGGGCACAAGTGTTATTTCTTGTGTAGGAAGGGAATTAATTTACATTTCATTAGAACTCTTTAAATATTTACTTATTGTCATTCTATACCAATAGCAAATTACAAGGGAATATGTTGTATTAACGTGGTATATTTTTCTTTCGGATGGTACCACTGTGTCTAGAAAGTGTATTATTGATAAGACGAGAAGACGAGTCCTTGACTGAAAATCCAGCATCAACATCATTTGAATATGTGAAGCCTAGCATCACTTCTACAAATGACAGTTTGACAAGGGATGGAACAATTTCAAATTTGCCATCCTTAGTATCTGTTACTATTAGCTGTCAATAAGCCACTCAGAAAACTTGTGAACTGTCAGAAAAGGTACAGCATGTTAATGAACTAAATTGGTTAATGACTAACACCTGACCAGACATTTCCTTTGAAAATTGGAATTGAAATGCTCCAATCAATGCAGAGATTTTGATGATCTGTTCAAACTGAAT